CTTCCTGCTTCCCCTGTAAACACGGGGTGCTTCAGCCCAGCCCGGAGCGGTCACGCTCCTGCTGCAGTGGAACAAACGGCCTTTCATCCTGTGGCACTTCTGAAATGTTTACAGAGAGCACGTTCAGGGAGGGCTCTGAGTGCTGTCTGTAGTATTGTGAGAGCTCGGCCTCGGCTCCAGTGGTGGCCAGCGTGGTGGGAAGGCAGGTGTTGGAGACTCGGCTGGGGCTCCAGGGGAGGTGTGTCTGTCTCTGGAATCGGCTCCGTGAAGTCGCTCGTTTTTATACAGCCAGGTCCTGCCCACCTATGACAGCCTGGATGAGCCATCAGTGAAAGCCATGAGCTCCATCTTCGCCTCCTCCCTCAGTGTGGTCACCACCTTCTACGTCATGGTAGGAACCCTTTCACACCCCACCCCCTTGCACAGTTCCTCCAGTCCCCCAGCGCAGGCCTGCCCTCTCTCCTTCCCATCCCAGTGCCCGCTCAGCTCCAGGGCCACCAGCGAGCCCGCTCCCCAGGTGGTGGTGTTGTCCCCATCCTGGGAGGAGTGCGGGTGCCTCAGCGCAGGGCCTGGAGCCTCCCCAAGAGCTCTGCTGATTTGCTGTAGAAAGGTGGTCCATCAGTGAGAAATGGGAGACAGTAAAATAGCAGAGAAAGAATATCACAAGTTCCAGCCCACAGATGCAGATACAGTTCATGTTTTGGTAGATTTTCCCTCCAGTCTTCTTAATTCTCCTCTTCATTGTTTTTTTACATGGCAAATAGAGTTATAAATTCACTGAGAGTCTGGCTTGTTTCCCTGAACTTTGTGGTTCCACCATTCTTGTTGGTTTTTACAAATGGTCCGTCAGATTGTTGTCTACACTGAGGCTGAGCTCGTGGGGACCTTGATTTACCCCATGGTTTGGGTTTTGAGCCACATTAAGTCCAGCCCCTCTGCTGGGCTCATGTGGCATTCTGGTGCTCCCTTTCCATGCAGGCAGCTCCCTTCTCTTGGTGCCCTATTGTCCAAGTGGGGAGAAGCCACATCGGACTCTCACCTTTACACCTTCAGCCTCTGCTTGTCAAGGAGGTTGTTTACGAGCCAGGAGCTGGGGGGCCTTGGTCTTGCTGCAGCTGCTCGTGATGAGGCTCGTCGCGGCTGTTCCGGGGAGGGTGCGCCCCTCTCACCACATGCCCCCTCCATCCCTCTGTCGTCCCCCCGCAGGTGGGCTTCTTCGGCTACGTGAGCTTCACCGAGGCCACTGCAGGCAACGTGCTCATGCATTTCCCTTCCAACCTGGTGACCGAGATGATCCGTGTGGGCTTCATGATGTCCGTGGCCGTAGGCTTCCCCATGATGATCCTGCCCTGCAGACAGGCCTTGAACACGCTGCTTTTCGAGCAGCAGGTAAGGTGCTCAGGGCCCCTCGGACGGCGTTCTGCCCGAAATTGTCTCTGTCCTGGTCTCAGTTATGTTGTCCTCAAGTGGCTTTTGCTAGTTCTTTATTTTCCTGGGCGGTAGTAGGAAGAGTTTTTCCTAGTTAAAAATTAAAAACTCCAATTAAAATGAAATCTTTTAATAGGGATCTTTTTTTTTAACCAACTTTAGAGAACAGAGCCCCAGATCAATCGGGTCAATTCCAGCAGGAGATGTGGAGTCAGGCCCAGTGTGCAAGCAGGTTAGGCTCGTGTCCTGTGACTTCCCTGCTGTCCCCCACGTCGGAGAAGTAGCAGGAAATCAGGAGCTTTGCTCAGCACAGCCCTGTGCGACAGGAGCGGTTGAGAACTCGGAAGA